AGAACACCAACCCCACAAGTAAATGCATTGTGTTTTCAAGAACAACTTTTTAGATGCGGTTAATGTCGGAGAGAGAAGAGAGAGAAAAAGCTAGCGTTTTGAAGGGTTTTGAGAGAGAGAGAGAAAAAAAAAGAGAGGAGAGAGAGAGAAAAATTTTCACTTTCTCATATGAACAAAAGGGGTTTTGAGAGAGTGAGAGAAAAGAGAGAGAAGAGACATCACTGATGAGGAGAGAGAAGAGAGAGAGGCAGAGAGTGGGTGTGGTTGGGGGTGTGAATTGCGTGCATATGTTGGAATGGATTCAGGTGGGTGTGCATTTCGTTGTGAATATGGGTAGATTTGGTAATAAATGGGGTGTCCAAAAAAATATTATTAAAATTTAGGGTTTAGGGTTGGGGTCCAAAGAAATGGGGGGTTCAAAGAATTTTGGTAGGTGCTAATAGCATCACTCGTTTCAGAGACCAATTTTTTTGACCTCTAAAAGTGAAAATTTTGTTGCAAAAGATATTTATGGACTAATTTTTCTCATCATGAAGATAGCCGTTAAAAAGTCGACCTGAAAAGTAAAATATAAGGCTTTTAGCGATAAAATTTTAAAAATGTCAATAATAATTAGATTTTTAGGGACAAAATAATTTACTCTCAAAATGGTTTATTTTTTGAGACAAATAATTTGATACCATAAAGATAATAATTAATCACTAATATTTAATTTTGGTTACTAAAAATATAATGACAACACTTTTCATAACAAAAATATTTGATTTTCTAAAAATAATTTTGCCCCTAAATTTTGGTTTCTAAAACCTAATTTTTTGTAGTGTGATAAGTGTTTTTTCATTTTAATTTTACATTTCAGAATTTATTTAAAATTGATAATTTAGTTAAACTTCATTGAGGAATCTGTAATTTAGTTCAATCTCAGGAAAATCTGTAATTTAACTAAATCATAAGGGGTATAGATAATTTGCCCTTATTTGTTAAAAAGGCATTTTAATCAATTTATTATATCCGTTGATAATTGCGATGGAGCATGATGTAATTTTTAAAACTTCAAAGAAAATTTGTAATTTTGTTAAAGTCAAAGGAGGTGTAAGTAATTTGTCCAAATATATATTGTGAGGATGGGTTTAAGAATAATACATTAAAATTTATATTCTGTGGATGGGTTCGTAGAATAATATATATATTTTTTTTCCAGTTGTACGATTTAGTCCATAGTGTATAATTGTACGTCTTTTACCTGACAAAATGTCTTGCATTAAATTATCAGCAATGCTGCTTCTTATTAAAAGTGATGCTCTAAAATATTATTAATAAGTTGGTATTTATTTTTAACAAAAAAGAAAAAAAAGATATAAAAATATTGTGATATTGGGTGAAATTCACTGTCACATTATTAATGATAGCACTAATTAATAATTCCACCCATCTTCCTTAAATTATTATAGCCTTTCGATGGGCATTGGCTTGATGGCGTAGCCTTGTACTTGCGGATGGACATTAGTTTTGCATTGGGAGGTGAGAAAAATTGATAAAATTGAGTTCAACGATTGAAATTGATTGAAAATTTAATTTTTGATATATTTTCATAATATATAGTTTATTTTGATTTTAAAATTATCTATATCGATATAAATTGAACCGATTAAATATTATATTTAAATATTTTTATATTATAATTTCTTGAATATTGTATGAGTAGTAACTAACATAATACACTTTTGTAATAAAAATTAGGAAGAAAAACATTTATAGTGCGATTTTCATATATTTTTTTCATTTATTTTTAATATAAAATTTTATAATCTGCTATAAAACATTTTAAAATTCATTTAAATTTTTTTTTTACGTCAAACCGACAAAACATATAAAACTAAACTATATCATATGGTCTGTATTAGTTTCTCAATCATAAAAATCAAAAAAATCGGTTTGGTACTAAATATACTCTTAATACTGACCGAACCGAACCGTTTACACTCCTAGTTTCACAGTAACATGTTATTTTTTTTTTTTTTTAAAAAGACTTTGGTTATGTTTTCTGAGATGGAATAAATATTTGGTCCATTTATTAAATGGGCTGGTTTTGAAAATATTTTTTATAGTCAAGCTTAGAGGAAAATGATATACAAATTCACTTTTAAATTCATTTTTGGGTAATGTTAGAGATATCAAATTTTTTACTAAATAAATTGTCAAATGTCTCATATGAGTGTGGAGTCTACAATTTTGTACACCTCATACCCATGTGAGACATTATGTCATTTATTTGGTAGAAAATTTGAAGTCTATATTATTTTCTTTCTTTTTTTAGACATAATGATGTGTTGTAAATGATATGATTAGTTGATAATTAGAAAAGATATGCAAGAGAGTGTTACATTTAATATTCTAATTCATTATGACATCACTGAGTTAGAAAATTTGATCTAATTTTTAATCTTGAATAACAATACTAATTTTACTTTTAGTGATTTTTTTCTTCTCTTTTTTTAAATTTAATAATGAAAATGCACCTTTCTAGAAAGAAAAAAAAAATGCCACCATCGTCAAGCCAGTGCCCATCCGTGTTTGGAAGGCAAACTTGCGGGATGCTGTTTCAATGTCATAATGAAGGTGAATTGACTCGATTATAAATGAGCTTGGCTTGGGTTGAGCCATTATTGTGTGGGATCAAATCTAACATGATTTATTCAAACTTAGGGATGATAATTTTTTTCATTTTACTACGTTCTGTGTAAAAAAAGAATTCATAACAACATGGAAGTATGACGGGGACAATTTTCTTCCCCCTTTCTATTTGGTCTTTATCTTAATTATATTTATTAAATCTCTTTGTATGTATATAATATAATATAATTTTTTAAAAAGTAATAAAAATTAAATATCAAAATACAATACTTAACATTCATTTACTTGTTGCTAGTCTTGGAGGGGGAGAGAGAGAGAGTATTTTGTGGCTTTGGACTATTTTGTCCTTTTATAAAATTTGTGCAAGATTAGAAAGAAGAAAAAGATATAATAAATGTTAGCTAAGAAGCATAATATTATCTTCTATTCCAACTTTAATTCTAAAGCAAAATCTCACAACAAAAAGAAAAATACTTTATGAAAGTGCTTGGCTCGAAAGGGCTCGAAAGTGCTTGGCTCGAAAGGGCTCGAAATTGCGTTTTACTCACCTGTTGCGCTGCTGTAGCCATTGGGTACATACACCCCATTCATTTCACTTCAAAAACAAAATCAAAAAAAAAAGAGAAATAAAGAACAGAGTAGAGAAGAGATACAGGAGCAACATCTACGACCTAGCTTTTGCTACCGCCGCTGCTATTTCATCGGAGTGGAAGAGGAGGAAGTTTGCTTGAGTTGTGGATAAGGTATTTCCCCTTCAAACATTGCTCTGCCATTGTGGATGCCATGACAGCTACCTATGATGATTGTGGCTGCCATGATTGCTCTTCCATTGGTCTATCATAAAATTAGGAAAATGATCCAGAGCTCAAAACTCTGTGGTTGCTCTTCCATTGGTTACTCTGTGAATCACATCCATTGGTCTATCATAAATCCAATCTGCTCGAAAATTTTCATTCAATAACAGATGTGATTCACAATGAAAATAACATTATTGTGAAAATAAGAGGTACCCAAAAATAAATTAGCAGATTGGATTTATTGCCATGTCTTCCATTGCTGTATTAGTTGAGGATTTTTTTTCAGATTCATTGTCTAAAAAAAAAAAATAAATAAACTCACACTTGATTGAGAATATCTCACAAGTCAGCTATTTGAACGGTGCTAATATAGCTTTGACAGTCCAATAGTGTATCATCTCATATACACTGCAGAGTCCACACTAATTTTGAAGCCAGCGTAGTGTGAAAGGTCATGTAATTAAGAGATTCCTCTATTAAATGTGTAACTGATAATACATTTAATGTAAAATTGTGTATTTCTGTCCACATACTTAGTTTGAAGACATTTGATGTTATTGATGTAAGGATAAAGATAAACTGTAAGTGCACAAATCTAAAAACACAAAATAATACACAGAAATAAATAAACTCACACTATCTGATTAATTTTCCAGATTATTAAAAAATCTTTATGTACCCTGAATCTTTCTAAAAAAATAAATAAATAAATCTGTTATGGCAAACAAATCTTTATGTACCCTGAATCTTTCTAAAGAACATATTGTCTGAGACTATTAAAAAAAAAAAAATTGTGCCTTATAATGTGATACCTTCACACTATCTACTATTATTTAAAAAAAAAAAAAAAATTGGATTTATTTATTCTTTCACATGTATTGTCTGAGATTCAGATTTATTTATTCAAGTTAATCATCCACATATACGTTAACAGTATATTTTTGTGCCTTATAATGTGACCTTTGATCATGCTCAAGCTGCCAAAGAAATTTATGAGAAATTTCAACATCTGTTAGGTTGGCATTCGATTGGCATTAGGCAATCTAGATGTTGAGGCTACTCTCTCTCATGCTCCCAGTTATAAAAAGTTATTCAGTTTGCTCTTTTACTAATTTGTCTATTGTATTTAACTTTGAAGCTACAATGGATATTGATTCAAACAATAATTCATTGAATGGGAGTGAGGAAGTTGAAGAACAGGATAACAATCTTGATATTACCGAAATTGGCGAAGTTGAAGAACCCAAGAAGGGGATGTATTTTAGCTCAAAACAAGAAGTGTACGCATTTTATGCACAATATGTGAAACACTGTGGATTTGTTATAGCTTTTAGATCACAAAATCTAACAAGTGATGGGGAAGTGAAGTACTTTGGAATTGAATGTACTCGGGCGAGGTTGAGAACAAAAAGATCAGAAATCAATCCCTTGGAACCATCTTTGTCATCCAAAATTGATTGTAAAGCAAGGGTCAGAGCTAGTCTACAAAACGATGGCAGATATAAGTTAACCACAGTTGTGCTTGAGCACACTCATGATTTAGTTCCTACAGACTCACGACATTTTACAATGAATAAGAGGATTCGTACTCCAGTCAAGAGAAGACTAGAAGTGAACGATGCAGCAGGGATTGGGGTGGCAAGGAATTTTCATTCCATAGTTGTTGAAGCAGGGGGATATAAGGCATTAACGTTTGATGAACGAGATGCAAGGAATTATATTGAGAATGCTAGAAGATTGAGACTTGGGCTAGGAGACGCCGAATCAGTTACACTTTATTTCCATAAAATGCAACAACAAAATTCGAACTTCTATTCGGCAATTGACCTTGATGAAGATGGTCGCATGCGAAACTTGTTTTGGGCAGATGCAAGGAGTAGGGCGGCTTATAAAGCATTTGGGGATGTTGTCTCATTTGACACAACCTATTTGACAAACAAGTATGATATGCCATTTGCTCCGTTTGTAGGAGTTAATCACCATGGACAGTCGATCTTGTTGGGATATGGGTTGTTATCTAATGAGAACACCGAGACATTTGTGTGGCTATTTAAAGAATGGTTAAGTTGCATGACAGATGCTCCTCCAAAAGCAATAATAACTGACCAGTGTAGAGCTATGCAAAATGCCATAGAAATAGTTTTCCCACAAGCTCGACATCGTTGGTGCTTATGGCATGCGATGAAGAAAATTCCGGAGAAACTTAGAGGATATTCACAATATGAAGGCATAAAGGTTGATTTGCAAAATATTGTTTATGATTCATTGACGAAAGATGAATTTGAGGGGAATTGGCTTACAATGGTTACAAAATTCAATTTGAATGATAACAAGTGGTTAGGGGTATTATACTGTGAGCGACATAGGTGGATTCCTGCCTATGTTAAAGACATATTTTGGGCTGGCATGTCAACTACCGGTAGAAGTGAGAGCATGAATGCATTTTTTGATGGATATGTGAACTCGAAGACTACCTTGAAACAATTTGTTGAGCAATATGACAATGCCTTGAGAAGTAAGGTGGAAAAGGAGACAAAAGCAGATTTCAAATCTCGTAACCAATTGTATGATTGTCTAACGGTGTATCATTTTGAGAAGCAATTTCGTGCAGCGTACACAAATGCGAAATTTAAAGAAGTTCAAGCAGAAATGAAGCGTTTAGTGTATTGTCGTCCGAATCTTGCAAAAGAGGAGGGATCAATTTGTACGTATCATGTGAGGGAGGCTATTCTTTTGGGTGAGGGTATGAAGAAAGTAGAATTTATCGTGTATTGTAATTCAACAGAATGTGAGCTCCAATGTATGTGTCGGTTGTTTGAGTTTAGAGGCATTATGTGTGCCCATTCACTTAGTGTGCTCATTGAGAGGTCCATATATGAGGTGCCACATAAATACATTGTGTCGAGATGGAGAAAAGATTTGGAACGAGGGTATACATGCATTCCAACCACATATACTAACTTCGGGGCTGCTATAAATCCAAAGTTGCATGATTCATATCACAAGACGTTAGATGAGATCCTAGAACTTGCCACCAATGACGATGCTAAACACAAAGTGATTCAACTTGGGTTAAGGGAAATCAAGGATCGAGTGAAAACTATTGAATCGGGTACTGCGAGTAATGTGCCATGTACTAGTACTCTACCACTTTTTACTAGTATTGTACCACCTTCGCATACTTCACCGAAAAGTCCGCCACGTCTGAATACTACAAAAGCAAGCAACACTCGCAAGGTACTCAGTTCTTTGGTTGCTCGCCGAAGAGGACGTCCATGTACGAGGCAGAAGGTTAGCAAGGTTGATCAAATAGTTAATCGGTTGAAGAGAAAGAACAAGAAGACTACTCTCGCACAGGTATATACTTGGCATAGGTTGTTTCGTAACCTTTTTGTGGATTCATAGTTGAATGGTTACAATAAGTAATGAAATTGTGTTACTATTTCATGATAGGTGCTGGAAGATCAAGCTTACTATTTTCCTTCTATGGTTGGCACACAAGATAGTATGTATGTTCCGGTATGTGTTGAATGGACTTAAAATATTGTACTTTGCTTCTTGTTGGGTTTTATGTTAATGCTTCAAATTATTATTAACATTGTCTTACTATATAATCATAAGGTGCCCCACGATGAAGCTTACTATTTTCCTTCTATGGTGAGCACAGAAGACAACATGTCTGTACCGGTACGTGTTCAATATTTGAGTACACATTTGTAACGATGAATGTATTGGTCAATATTTTTTAAAATCATTTTGTAATATGTACTTTGTTTTTATAGGCACGGGTTTGCACAATGGGAACGCCAAACAATATTGGAAGCACATCAGGAATGGTCAACAATCTAAGCAGTCAAAGTTCTACAGTACCATCACTATTGGATCCAAATGTCCCATTTTATTTTTAATGTAATACACTGTTCAATGTAATACACTGTTCAACCTGTTGAACAAATAGAAACCTGTTCAATGTCTGTGTTCTACTATTTTTGTAAACAGGTTCTGTGTTGTAAACAGGTTCTGGATGATATGTAATTTCATGTCATATGGTCCCATTTGAATGGATGACTTGAATGGATGGTTTGGTTTTTATTTATTCTTGTGTCCCTGTTTTGATTAATGATGGATTTTAGATTATGGTCCCATAAAAACTGTTTTAATTTCATGTCATATGGTCCCATAAAAACTGTTTCAGATTAATCACTCAGCTTTTTGTGTGCTTGGGATCAGCGGACCTAGTTGTTTTTATGAGAATAGACACACTATCTACTTTTGCTTTTGGTGACTAGTATATGCATTGTTTCTATTTGCAACTTGGGTGCTCTTGTGGCCAATTCTAATACCGTAAACAGTTTTTATATTTTTATCAGCAGGTGAAGATGCCCAATTTTCATAATCAGGTTGACCTGGTTTTTGAATGTACATGAGTTACACTTAACTGTCACTGGATGTATCAGAATCTGCATTTTTCACCATGTCAAAACCACATGAACCAACATGAAAGACAATCTTCAAGCTACATTTTTTTTTTTTAAGTTTGCTTGCATTATATTCATGAATTTGGTACTGCTAAGAATTGAGTTTGTGGGATTTCACTCACAAAAAAATTGAGGGACACCAAGTATAGGTGCTGACATATTGAAACAATCATGATATACCAAAAATCCATTAGTCCAGCACCTGCTGTTTGTGCTTTCTAATAGTCACAACACAATCCAGCACAATCCATCATCAATAACTATCTACTACTATTAGTCTATCACAATCAATAACAATCCATCACAACACGACATTCAATTCATAACAAAATTGAAGAGGTAACATATATTCTTGGTACCAAACCATTTCAGAAGTATATGTAACAGGAACATAAACATGAGAATCTATCCCCAATGCTTCCTGGGCTTCCTCTAACTTCTCCTCAAATGATTCAACACTTCCAATATTGAAATAATATTTATATTGGCTCTTGCTTGGATCAGCAGGTCCTTGGACAACTGGTCCCTCAACGACATCATTGCTTGTTTGATTGCGTGGTGAGCTCCTTACATACACTTTTGCAACTGATTTATTCGAAACAACTACATGGTCTACTAAACCCGGTTCTAGGAGCTTGTTTTTGAACTCTTGGAAACTAATCTGCAAAGAATCATTTTCCAAAGTTTTAAGGCCCAAAAAGATAAAACAAAAATCTTAATTACATTCAAATTGCACATAAGGCAAACCAACCACAATATATATATATATATATATGTATCATTAACGAAAAACTTGAATATGCGACTCAGCTATATATCCTACTAACTATGAGTTTATGATTATAAAAGCCCCATACAACCAAGTCCTAAAATATATTCAAGCATATAACTTACCTGTTGTTGCTCACGAGGACCAAATGAAAATGATGAAAGAAACAGGCCAATCACTAATATAGGGGTGATAAGATTTTGAAATTGCTTCAAGAAAGCTTCCTGAAAACTGCCATTATCACCTGTGTTTGCATCCTCTGCAAATAAAGAAATTAAAATATGCAAAAAGTTGTGAGATATTATGTATTATAATCAGTGTGGTGAACCATTTTTTAAACAAACATTCAGCATGAAGTTTTACTTAATAAATATATTTTTTGAAATATACACATGAAAATAATAACTTCTTCGTTTTTACTTTACAGATTCATTTATACATATATCTTTAGAAAACAAATAGAAAGAAATCTTTTTCACATTCCATATATTAGAAAAAAAAGGGTGGACCAAAATAGAAACTATTATCAATATTAGAAGAGGGTGTATATCATAGAATTTCTAATAATTTATTTGTTTCAAAATTGAGGAAATATAAATGCATATATGTTCTTATTTGTTTCAAAATTGAGGAATTTCCAACAGTTCTTACAGTCAAAGGATTGACATGGATTGCCAAACAAAATTTCATACAAAATTGACATGGCTTTTATGAGATGGAGAAATGTAAAGCTGTTAAATTGACATGGATTGACAAACAAAATTTCATACAGTCAAAGGATTTCCAAACAAAATTTTAGCAGCAAACAATATTTACCACCATAAATTCTTCACCAAACATTCAGAAGCAAACCGACATGTAGCAGCAGAACATTAGAGGCAACAAATTCAGTGGCAAAACAGAATGTTAGTAGCAAACATTCTTGGGGAAAAACTTCACCAATAAACCAATAGGTATTAGCAAAAAACATTGGGGAAAATTTTGGAAAATTTCACCATAAAAAAAATTAAAAAAAAAATTCTGGAAATGAACATCCCTACAAGCACATCACTAGAATTAATTTGAACATCCCACAAGAACTAACTCTACAACCCAAAGACTAGAAATCAAACCAATTAAGAAACCAATCACGAAACCCCAATTGAGAAAACATGATCTCAACAACTATAACTTATGGGTTAGCAGCAAAACATGATCAACTTATTCGAGCTACGAAACTTTTTCCTTTATTTTTGTATAGCAAAAGTCATAATTTGAGAAAAGGAATAAGATTTAAACCATTAGCTTTATAATAAGATATAAGGATTCTAATCAATTACAAGAAAATTGAATTGCTCAGTCAAAGATAATCTATAATTTATAACACAAGTCAAAGAAATGAAATGCATATCAAAATAGACAAATTGATTTTAGTTTCATTCGCCTTTTGATGGATAGGAATGAAGGTACTTGTTGAACTGAAGTCAAGAAATTAGTTGATGGTAACTGTGAATCTGGTATGACCTAGTTTGTCTCATTAAGGTCGTGTTTGGGTTGTTATTAATTAACCAAACCTAGTAAAAAATTACATCTCCATCAAGAATTTGTTATTAATTAACCAAACCTAGTAAAAAATTACATCTCCATCAAGAATTTATTGAGTGAGTCATATTTAACCAATTGGGACTGGTTCAACTGCACTCACCTAATGGGCTGGCCAAACAGAAAATGTCATTTCTTCAATGTTTGGGATTCGTATTCCTAGTACAAACTAACACCATATAATTCATATTCCAAATCAAACTAACACCATATTCTGTTTCATTTTCATTTTCTGTTTTCACTAACACCATATTCCAAATCAAACAAACTAACACCATATTCCAAATCAAACTAACACCATATAATTCATATTCCAAATCTCAGAACTAACTTAACAGAAAATGAAACTAAAATCTATCACAGTACAAATTCAAAACTTCATAAAACAGTATCATAAGAACCAATACCTTAATAACAGAATTTGGGATAACCCATGGTTTTACAAAAATTATTTTGGGATTTTAGGTTTACCTCCGAGGTGAGAGGGATCAAAGAAGTTAATCGCCTAATTTTCACAAACATTGAAGCCAAAACGTAAATCCTAGATTTGAGATTTTAGGTTTACCTCAGAAATTTTGATTTTCTTGTAGGTTTACCTCAAATTCCGTGTCGTTCACCGTCGTTTGGTCCCGTTCGTCTTCTTTCGTCGTCGATCACAGAGCATTAAGAGGTGAGAGGTATGACAGAGATCTAGGATAGGATCAAAGACTGCTGAGTAGAGGTGAGCATGGATAAGAGACTGCTGAGCATGCGTGAGCGTGATCTAAGATGAGAGAGCAGAGGTGAGCATAATCTCAGATGAAAGAATGGTTTTTGGCTTCGGATAGAGGTAGTTGTTCGAAACAGAGATAAGAGAGAGAGAAGAGAAGATGTTTTTCGAGCTACTCGAGCCAAATAATTTCGAGCTACAAAGCTTTATCGAATTTTTACCTTTCATATTGGCTTTAATTTCAATGCAAAATGACCACAACATGACTCAATTTTTACAAAAGAAAAAAAAAATACTTTTGCAGATGTAATTTTCCTAGATAAATGTAGGTGAGAATCATATATTTATGGTAAAAAAATTCAACTTGGTTAATCAAGCTAAATCCATAAGTTTAAATTATAATTAAAATTTCCTGAATCATGTAAAAAAAAAAAAAAAAGACTATATGTGGATATATATGCAAGTTAGACCATTTCCAACGTTGCATCAGATTTAAATTGATAAAAAAAAAAAAAAATCATTTTTTCTCTCTCAAATGGTTTCACTAAACTGATATCAAATTGGGAATGAAGCAAAAGTTTCACCAAACTGAGGACGTGGGTGAGATTTCACCATTTCACTGTGCGTTTACGTTGGAGGTGGGTCCCACTAGTCAACTAGCCAGACGTCCGGCGGTTGACCCACTGGTCAACCAACGCATACATAGCTACTTCAATCTGCGTCAATTTTTGGTTGGCCTGCAAACTGCTTCTGTGACAACCCTCACCACTGATTAGTGCTAATCCATGATTAAGCATGTTAACTGAATTACTAAACTAATTGATTGATTGTGCTAGTTTGAATGCAATCCTATCTGTTGACTATTAAATTATCTGTTCATGTTTTATGCTTTAAACTGCAAATTAAAGGCCTTATCGGCGACCGAATCTGAAATTGATTGATATTTTGTGCTAATTAAGATTTATATGATTTTATGGCATATTTAATTGAAATGTGATTTGGTATGATTAAATTAGATTTAATAAAGCTAAATTACAAGAGTTGGACTTAATTGCCATTTTGCCATTAGCGGGCTTTGCTAGACAATTATTTAGTCTTTACTTATCTATGCTATACATCATCCTTGTTCATTTGTGAGAGACCAAAATTGACTTGAGTGAGAGAGTGGGAGAAATTGGGTTCAACTTGAAAGTTTTGCTTGGAAATTATAGGAATTGAAGAGTAATTTTCTTAATTGAGCTCCCTTATCTTGCATTCAAGACTTGAGGTAGGAGATTCATCCTCTCATTTGTGTATTTGAGTTGTTCTAGCATGGTCCATGGTGACATTAGTGATTCAAAGTCTAGAATTGGTTAAGATTGTTGAATTAAGTTGTAATTCATGCATGCATGTATATATTGTGAGGTTTTAAGGTTGTAGTTCATAAATTCCTCACATACATGTTCATATCTTGAGCTTAGTTCATGAATTCATCTTATTTTTGAGGTAATGAGCTCAT